CCACTTCCGCTTCCACTTCCACTTCCACTTCCAGTTCCAGTTCCACTTCCGCTTCCACTTCCACTTCCACTTCCAGTTCCAGTTCCAGTTCCACTTCCGCTTCCACTTCCACTTCCACTTCCAGTTCCGCTTCCACACTTGTAGTTGGGAAGACATTTTGTGCTCTCGGGACAGCACCCGCCTTCACCATCTTGACATGCATACTGTCCAGCTGAGCAAACGGAACATGTATAATTAGCGGTACATGAATGGCCAAAGGGACAACATCCGCCTTCACCATCTAGACATGGATAATCTCCACCTGGACAGACACTATATTTCGTGTTGTTAGATACATTTTGTGACCGAAAATTTACAATGTTGGAATTAATTTGTAGCCGATCCGTGATGTCAGATCTGCTTTGTAGCCAAGATGATGAAGGAGAAGCCAAAGTTACGGTAGCGAGAACGAGAATTAGTATGAGACTCTTCATATTAAAGCTTGAACAGGGTTTACAGCATTCCGATGCAAAATGATCGTGTGTTATTTAAATGTTTGCATCCTGCAATTGTGTGAAACGGATGCATTCACGCGATACCGTATAAATAGTACAATTAATCTAAATTTAAATAACACAGTGCTGAGTTAGCCGCCGAGTTAAACAATTAACGGGGTTACAATGATGAGTTAAAAGGCATACAATTTGACAGATGTTATGACCGAATGATAGGTTACTTATTATCTAACATAATAGTGAATGAAGCGATTAATTGTATCGATTGCGTTTTGGCTCATTGTTCATGATTGTCAAACCCACAAAGAACTATTTAAGCACCTAATCTAATATATTTTATTTACATCACGGCATCTTTTATTCATGTAGCCACTTACTTATTACGCTTATGGGAACCAAAGCATGCATTCTACTTGCGTTGTCTATTAATAGAATTGCCGTTCGAAAATTGGCGCAAGTGTTTGGTGGCAGATTACTCCTGCGTACGAAAGGTAAGACTTGTAATCGGAAAGATTTTTTTTTTCTTAAAAAGGATTGATTCATACTGTATTATTTTACCATTTATGTATTGTATTACGTTTCGTCAGGCTGTAACAAGAGAAATTCGAAATGGCGTGATGCAACTGCCAACCAAGAAATTTTTTGCTTCGAAAGAACAACATTGGACGTTCATTGAACATAAAAAGACGTTCTGTCCATCATCAGCCCAATATATTATGGCAGTCCCAGCCCGAAGAAAGTGTTGGTTAGCCATTGGACTATGGTGTATTCCCTTATTTCGCCGATAACGTCAACACAATTACGTGAACATCGAAATAAAAATGATAATATTTTAATGGATCTCAGACGCTTTGGCTGAGTTTTCGGGAAACGTTAGACAGGTGTCACTTGGCAAGTCAATTGGAAACTCGCGGCGGTTTCCCGATTACGGAATTCTGCTACTGCTGTCAATGCCATTGCAAGTTTGGTTGCACGACGAGCAGGAGTTTCGCATTCTTTATTGCTGCACCTACAATTGGATGTGATGCGCACGACTAGCAGGCGTGCATGTCGGAAAGCAGGTGTTACTTGTAGCTCTCGTTACTATTTGTACTAACGAAAATAATTAGACGTTTATGTTAGAATCAAGGAGTTATCGTATGTGTGTCAGGTGTATTGCGCTTGTTCATTTTAGCACTATTCGTACATAGCGCATTAATAATGCGGTACGTAGCTCGATTTATTTCCTTTTCTTAAACTCTTATTGACTGCAGAAAATTCCATCACGATTTTCTGGAATCACGAATTGTACGACTAATGCCTTATTAGATACCGAAAAGTTAATATATAAAATATCAGGTATACTGTGTTTATCTGCTTAAACATCATAATTTTACGGTGTCTTGACTTAGTATACAACCTAGTGGATTCTGCAAATGGGCGGGACAGAAAATGATGTAGTTTTCGACAATAATAATGGTGAACTAAGTCAGAGGGATAATATTATTTTTCTTGTCCTATTTTATAATAAAGCTTTAGTGCATCTTGGAAAATCAATGTTATCTAGTGTTACTCCCAACATTAAATTTTATCTGGCTGTTTTTGTTATAACCGGAAAGTTTGGCGTTTTCAAAACTGCTGCAGGGGGTTTACTCCCTGGGGTATACATGCCAGAGAATACAGTCAGAGATATTCCCCGATTTGGACGATGCAGATCTTTCTTTTTATGATAGTGAAAAAAATTCTGGAAATTTCTAGAAATCTTTGCTTTATCAACTCTCTCCGGCTGGAATAATAATAAGAAAATACGCAGGGGTTTTACCAAAAAAGTTATACGATAGGTTTAACACAATATCAACCTAATTTTAGATCGGGCTGGTCAGTTAACACATATTACATTATCCAATACTTGTTCAGTTATGGAACGAATTGAACTTATTTCTGCAGTAACTTTGACATCTTATCCTTAACTTATGTTTCAGTAAAAAAAGTTTGAGTGTAATGACCATACGCAATTACAAAGCGTTCACACTCAAAGCAACTCTTTTCTGTGACGGTAAAACTTATCGAAAAAGTGAGACATCAAGTATCTAAATTGCTTTATACATACATACATACATACATACATACATACATACATACATACATACATACATACATACACACACATATTTTTTTAAAATAATAGAGTAAGCGAACTCAAGAGGTATGTTAAAAGTCAGTTAATACTTTAGACGTTTTAGTACGTTATATAGTTAGTTTTTAGTTTGAAAAGAGATATTATTATTTCACACATTTTCTATCCGATGTTCAGAAACTACTCCAAACTTAGACTATGAACAAGTTTGTCATTAATTTTATAACCCGTCTCCTTGCATTTACCCAATCAGGAGTTTGACATTGCGCGTTACATAATTACGTCTTTACATTGAAGGTGCGACCTGGCAGGTAAACATTTTAAATCCGACCCTTTGAAATAACATTGTGCGACTAAAAACACGATGTTGGAGGAACGAAATTAACAATCAAAACGATCAATACTCATATTAATTGTTAGTGACGAAATTTCCCGTCGATTCGGAATAAACATTAATAACTGGTATTTTAGTAATTTACTCGATTAGTGTGTTAAAGAAATGTTAATTGTTGGATGTGTCTGCATAATACATTTTGATACTATGAAGAAAAACGATATTACCGGCTATAAACGACAGAAATATTATTTCTCATATTTTTTCCAGGGCTAAATTAGGGAGAGGGTTAAACAAATAATGAAATAAATTACTTACTATTCGACCGTCTCCGAGGAAACATGTTTGGGAATATTTATCTAGGTGTTACTTAATATCGTATGGCAGAATATCTGACTAGCATGTTCACTAAGTGCAAAAATATTAATAATAAAGCACGTAGAAAACATTCATGTTTCGTTATCTAAATTAACTGCTGAACAAAGTATAGTATGTGCATTTCCTTTTTGAAATGGGAATTTAATTTTCTTCATATGTGCCCCAAAAGTAAAATGTATAATGTTTATAAACCAACATTTCTGATTAATCGGATAGCAATTCCGTTTTAATATATATTGTTTTTACTGATACTCTGAGGCTTATCCGTTACGTTATCAGTTAAGACTGTATTTTAATAATCCATGATGTCCGCCCTAGTCTCTTTAGCCTCTTTCTATGAACACTAAACAATTTTTTTTGGCAAACCATCCCAAAATCGTACTCTTTAACGTCTTTTGTTAGCGTTCGTAAAGTGTGTTGTGTCATTTGAAATTTAATCCAACTTATGATTCACCGACTACCCCCCCCCCCCTACCGTGGGGTGACGTAATCGCTCACGGTTGCATTCAGAGACACTTTATTCATCAATCAGCAACGGTAATTATAATATATCATAATCTATATATACTGCAAGATTAGTGATAAAATCTATCGACTAATAATAATATAAACAACATGCTGACAAGTACAAAAATACTTTTGCCAAAGTTCAAGTATGCGACTCTCACTAATACAAATATTGTTCACTCGATTTTTGCAAGTTCAAGAATATGGTTGACTCTATTTCTTAACGTTTTTCATTCAACGTAATATCTCGCTCCTTCAAATGCGACGTAACTTAACAAGCCCCCTCACGGATTAATTACTAATGAATTAAGGTTAAACTGCCAATCGTGCATTTCTTAGGAAGGATGGCTGTCTAAAAGAAAATCAGGAGAGCAACAACTGCATCATAGAACTATACCACGCTCTGTCGAAGCCAGCAAGTTAAAAAAACTGTACACTGGTTATGTCACATGATAGTAGTCTGAGCGAATTTCTTCAAGACATAATTGCGCTTTACTTACAAGACAGCTAAGGTTTAATGTTTAAGGAAGAACGTACTATTATAGAAAATATAGAATCGATGTCCAATTATCTTGTATTTGTGTGCCATCTAATTATAATTAACCAATCATCTCACGATAGACCTCCGCACAGATTTCAGTATTTTCTAAATAATTGTAGAGATGAAAAAGAAGTTTTAAACAGCATTGAGCTCAATACAAAATAAAAATGGAGCAAACACCGAAGAATCTTCCAATTGCTGCTCATAATGATAATCATAAAATAGCCGTGCTTTAATATTTATAAGGAAGCAACGTCTTCCTTTGACAATGCAGGTAACCCAGTTTATACAAATAAATTAATTCAAATGTCCATGTCCCCATAATCAACTATTTTGTCTAAAAAAGCTATTATATTGATACTCTAATAATATGAAACATTTTATCATTTCTGACAAACGTAAGAACCATATCTAGTTACATATAACCGGATACGTAAACTAAGATGACAATGGCCGTTGCCAGAAGCTCAGTGGATAAATGCATTTGTGTTTTAAAATTATCACTGCCACTGCTGCCACCGCTACTACATTTGAAGTTGGGAAGACAAGTCGTGCCAGTAGGGCAACATCCGCCTTCGCTATCCTGACACGCAAACTGTCCAGAGCTGCAAGTGCCACCGTTTCCATCACTTACACCGCACTTGAGATTCGGTGTGCAAACTTCGTAAGAGTAGCAACAACCATCACCACAAGGTATATCTTGGTCGGTGCATGTAATGTTGCAGCCGGTAGATATGCACGTCCCTGAAGGACAACATCCATCATTATTTGCACACGGAACATAGCTTGCATTGGCGCATACACCAGTGTTTTCTAAAAAAGAGAATCCAGCATAATTGACATTAGGTGCTCTTGCTCCAAGATATACGGTATTAGATCTACTCTGTAGCCGAGATAATGTCGCCGAAGCAGATATTACTGCGGTGAGGGTGAGTAATATTATTAGAAGCTTCATATTAGCTGCCAAGCGAAATTGATATATTATTTAGCAAGTTTTGGTCCTGGCGCGCTTTTAAATAAAAAATTCCAGTTTCAATTTGCAACATAGCACTACATTTTGAGAATCAAAAGATTGGTGAACAGATGCAATATTTGTATTGGTGTTACCAATGTCGTAACAAGTCGTATGGTCATCAGTTTTCCGCAACTATTTATAATTTATTTCAATATGCACTTTCCCAATTGAAGAACCTTCTTGTCAATATTACCTTCAACCCAGTCATTATGCATGCGCGTGAATATGATGTGTTGAATGGATTTCGTTAGTAGCATCGCAATAGCCCACACGCAATTGACTACCTCAGCGGATCAAACATTTGCTAATCAAGTCTGCAAGTGAAGAAATTTGTTAAATTATCGTCGGGTTGGAGTTAATGATTCAGAAAAAGCGCAGACATGATAGGGCACAAAATTTAACATAACCGAAAGTCTTGGGCTGTGCGGATAATAGCATCGATTTGAACATTATTGGTTGCCCCACGCCACGAACAAATTCAGAGACGCCACACGAATTACGTCCATTGGACCAGATATGGAGAACGGAATGCATATACTGTCTCACGATGAACACACCAAATTTTTCGATTGTTAATTCCGTACCGTTACCACTTTGTCTTGTACAGATTTATCAGTACCATATAAACAAAGGAACATGTGAATTCGACGTCAATTCTTAATAAGGAAATGAACCATTCTACGTGCTACAGCTATTCGTACTATTTGCGTAAATAGCTTAAATATTGGTATCCCTAGACATAATCGATCAGATTGTCGTCCGATCACAAGCGTTTAATAACACGATGTCACACGCATGATATAATTTGCCAGTCACATTCATCATTTTGCGCACCCCCTACTATTGCAGACGGACATTGGCAATAAATGCCTGTCGTCACTACACAGATACCGGATTTAAATCTATTGTATAACTAGCAACATATATTTTGCGTCCTTGATTCGAAAAGCGTATTGGTTGGTCAGGCAATATGTGTTTGGGTAATTTTATTATGATCATTATTTCATTCCATGCTTGAACGTAGTGTTTCTTTTGTAATGTCTCCTAAAGAGCTTTGTAGTATATTGTTAATTATCGTGGATGTCTTATTTGTAGACTTTCTGTCAGTATCATGTTATGAGAAGGTTTCTTTTTCAATAGTGACGGATGTGGAGTATAAGGTGGACAATGATAATATTAGACGCAGTTCCATTGTTATAAATGTCTGGTCCTTCAATAAGAATTTCTTAAGGTTATGTCGAAACTATTTCAAATTTTGTCAAGTTGGCAGATAGACCGTTACTTGAGATATATTGGGTGGTTTAACTTAAGTCTTGAACCAACCGAGTCATTCACTTTACATTATCAACTAGGCAAGTTGTGCTGAGCTCTGTCGATTGTGTTAACTCAGACTAGCCTGACAGGCAAAAGTAATTTTTAATCAGCTGTAATAATTGCTTAATTGCGCTAAAATATAGCGACTAATGTAAGCATAAAAGCATAATCAAGATATACTAATTAGAAATTTTAGAGTATTGAAGACATTGATAATTAGGTTTATTTAATTTGTTTTTAATTCAAAACTCATAATAAATTTAAAAGGCTTGATAAAAGTATCGAGTCAACAATCGTGATGCCACACGGGAATATTCCTAATTGACACTATATCAAATAATTTACTGGAGCACGAATCATTAATATTATATACAAGTTTACAGACAGTTACCACCTATACATTGTCGAAATTCTATTTTCGGTAGAAGGTTGGTAAGATTGATAAAGTAAATATACAAACTAATTATGATCCAGCGCGAAAAGTTGATACACCAATATAATTTATAGTAAAAATTTTTTCCAAAGGGTGTCCTTAACTTACACCCCGGGTGTAAGTTAAGTTCGTACACCCCCCCCCCACTATACGAACGGGTTAGTGTATAGAGAGCTCAATCAACTTATCAATTGGATATTAAGGACTAGTAC